TTTTGTGACCATGAAGTGCATGACTGCACCATGAAACCTATTTTTCCCATTTCCTCAAACACACCACATTGTCGGTTTGTATAACGTCAGGTGACCAGTCTGACTTTTGTTTTTCACATTGGACTCCACCAGAAGAAATCCCATCATACTGCTGCTTAAATGTTCACTACGTCAGAACTTATTCAGTAAATGTGTTTCCATCTCTGCTTCTGTGCRTTAACTCTGACAGGATGGAGGAAACTGGTCTTGGTGGAGATTTGCACTCTCCCAGTGCTTCTATTTAAAATTAGACTAAAAGCGGATGCATAAATATTTTTAAAAAGTTTCCTGATATAGTCTTGAGCCACTTTTTGTTTATTAGGACCCTTACTTCTCCACACATCTTCCACCAGTTCAGCTCAGTGTCAGTTTATAAACTGAGACACCTAGTTCTCCTCCTCCAAACAAAGAAGGGAAATTTCACTTTTTGTGGCCTGTGAGCTCCCTCAGGCTACTACCAGCTACATTTTTCTGAAAGAAAAGACCAAGGAATGAGCTCCAATATGATACCATATTTMAAAAAAAAAACCTCTGATCTCAGCTGCTTGTACCTGCATAGTTCATCTGTCAATCTCTATCCTCTGGTCAAATACGGTGGTTTAAACTTTGATCAATAAGTAAGGGCTGAACAAGAATTATCAGGAAGTGCTGCTAGAAAGTTTTATGGAAACGGGATGTTTTTCAAAATGAACTATTTCAAAAATATGAAAAAAACTCTTTAAAGATTGATTTTATTATATAAAACAGTTCAATATTTTCAGTTCTCTTTGTTATCAGTTGTCTTTGTTCATTACTTTGCAAAATTATAAGGTTTAAATCTTAAAACTTGCTCAAACTATAAAGAAGGCACAGTGTTTATTTGTTTTGTGTCTTAAAGTGCCACATAGAGCTTTCTGAATAGAAAAGGTCTGCACTGTTACACAACCTGAACCCTGCACCACAGGATGTTGCCCTGTCACACATGTACAGTTCAGGTTTAGTCTTGGTTACTTTTCCAAATGAGCRTGTTCAGCATACACACAATGTCTGCCTGGAGGCTTGTCGGACAAACCTTGAACAAAGAGTGAGCAGCAGCCTTGCACTTTGACTGAGTGTTTCTGGCAAACAACTGCTGAACAAATACAGTGTTCAACATCAGAACAAACTAATGTGCTGCCTGGGCCATCAAAATGAAAGAAAGCCTTGTGGTACATCTGATTAGTAGCTGTGTTTCCATTACAAATGTGCGCAAAACTTTGTCGATATTCTGTTTATGTCGAAAAACACAGTTTCAAAACTGCTGTTTCCATTAAGTAAGAAATGCTATTAAAGTCACACGTGAATACGTTTGTTCTCATAATAAGTC